CCTGTCAGGCATCTAATAATAACTGCGAGAAGATTACAAAACAGCATAAAAACCGCCGATCAGTAACCTTGGGATTTGCGCACAGCTAGGGATTCAGTTTAGCTCATTTACATTGTAAAACACCATCTTGCTTAGAAAGCACTTATGCTAAAAAGCCAAATTTGCTTCCTCGACATTCACAAATTTCATGTAGCAGGAATTCACACGAACGCAGATACAAATTACTTTTTTTATTACTTTTTCTCCCCCAGCGAATCTCTAAATTTGGTTTAACGGTTACACTAAAGGATTCTTTTTTTTTTTGGTTGTTTGTTTTGTTAACACAGTAATTAAATTTGAATTAAATTTTAACCCCTTTAAGGAACAATGACATAAATACACATCATTTAAAAACAAGATCTTATATTAAAATGGAATGCCCAATTTATTTAATGGATGCCAGATCAAATGAAGGTGCAAATGCCAAATATGGCATATATGGCCCAGAAAACATATTTGCACCAGGGCACTCTCTACATTAGTTCCACCACTGTGAGGTGCCTGGATGAAAAAGCAGGACACAGCACTTCTGATTCTGAGTCTGTGAGTAAGCAGTTGCATGTCTCTAAAACTGATTGCCATGATGTGCAAAGTTTCTGCCTCTAAAACTGCCATGATATCCCAGAATTATGCCTCTAAAACTGCCATGTTATGCCAATTTTATGCATCTAAAACTGATTGCCATGGTGTGCCAATTTTATGCTTTTAAAACTGATTGCCATGGTGTGCCAATTTTATGCATCTGACTGTTTGCCATGGTATGTCAGTTGTATGCCTCTGAAGCTGATTGCCATGATGTGCCAGGTTTATGCATCTAAAGCTGATTGCCATGGTGTGCCAAGTTTATGTATTTAAAGCTGCCATGATGTGCCAATTTTATGCCTCTAAAACTGATTGCCACGATGTTCTGAATTTATGCCTCTAAAGCTGTTTGCCATGGTGTGCCAATTGTATGCACCTAAAGTTGTCATGATGTGCCAATTTTATGCATCTAAAACTGATTGCCACGGTATGCCAACTGTATGCATCTAAAGCAGATTGCTATAGTGTGCCAATTTTACGCATCTAAAGCTGACATAATGTTCCAATTGTATGCCTCTAAAGCGGTTTGCCATGGTGTGCCAGTTTTATGCTTCTAAAAGTAATTGTCATGGTGTGCCAATTATGTGCATCTAACGCGGATTGCTATGGTGTGCCAATTTTATGCATCTAAAACTGATTGCCATGGTGTGCCAATTTTATGCATCTGACTGTTTGCCATGGTATGTCAATTGTATGCCTCTGAAGCTGATTGCCATGATGTGCCAAGTTTATGCATCTAAAGGTGATTACCATGATATGCCAAGTTTATGCATCTAAAGCTTATTGCCATGGTGTGCCAAGTTTATGTATTTAAAGCTGCCATGATGTTCCAATTTTATGCCTCTAAAATTGATTGCCACGATGTTCTGAATTTATGCCTCTAAAGCTGGTTGCCATGGTGTGCCAATTGAAAGCCTCTAAAACTGATTGTCATGGTGTGCCAATTGTATGCACCTAAAGTTGTCATAATGTGCTAAGTTTATACATCTAAAAATGATTGCCATGATGTACCAATTTTATGCATCTAAAGTGGATTGCTATAGTGTGCCAATTGTATGCCTCTAAAGCTGGTATAATGTTCTAATTGTATGCCTGTAAAGCTGATTGCCACAGTGTGCCAATTGTATGCATCTAAAGCGGATTGCTATAGTGTGCCAATTGTATGCATCTAAAGCGGTTTGCCATGGTGTGCCAGTTTTATGCCTCTAAAAGTAATTGTCATGGTGTGCCAATTGTGTGCATCTAAAGCTGATTGCTATGGTGTGCCAATTGTGTGCATCTAAAGCTGATTGCCATGGTGTGCCAATTGTGTGCATCTAACGCGGATTGCTATGGTGTGCCAATTGTATGCATCTAAAGCTGATTGCCATGGTGTGCCAATTGTATGCATCTAAGCGGATTGCCATGGTGTGTGTGCCAATTGTATGCATCTAAAGCTGATATAATGTTCTAATTGTATGCCTGTAAAGCTGATTGCCACAGTGTGCCAATTGTATGCATCTAAAGCGGATTGCTATAGTGTGCCAATTGTATGCATTTAAAGCGGATTGCTATAGTGTGCCAATTGTATGCATCTAAAGCTGATATAATGTTCTAATTGTATGCCTGTAAAGCTGATTGCCACAGTGTGCCAATTGTATGCATCTAAAGCGGATTGCTATAGTGTGCCAATTGTATGCATTTAAAGCGGATTGCTATAGTGTGCCAATTGTATGCATCTAAAGCGGATTCCAAGGTTTGCCAATTGTATGCATCTAAAGCGGATTGCTATAGTGTGCCAATTGTATGCATCTAACGCGGATTGCCATGGTGTGCCAATTGTATGCCTCTAAAAGTAATTGTCATGGTGTGCCAATTGTGTGCATCTAAAGCTGATTGCTATGGTGTGCCAATTGTATGCATTTAAAGCGGATTGCTATAGTGTGCCAATTGTATGCATCTAAAGCGGATTCCAAGGTTTGCCAGATGTATGCATCTAAAGCGGATTGCTATAGTGTGCCAATTGTATGCATCTAAAGCGTGGTGTGCCAGTTTTATGGCTCTAAAAGTAATTGTCATGGTGTGCCAATTGTGTGCATCTAAAGCTGATTGCCATGGTGTTCACTTTTTAAAATATACATTAAAAGCAAGTGGGTCTCGAAAAATTACCGTTTTGAAAAGTGGGTCTCGGCCCATAAAAGTTTGGAAAGGCCTGTGTCAGATTATGTAACTAAGGAATTGTTTAAATTCTAGAGCGCCCTTATTCAGAGCCTGTACTGAATCTTCCTTCACTTACGTGTTTCTTTTTGACTGCTTGTATCTGTATCTACTGTACGTCTGTCACAAATAAATCTATCACCTCAATGACAAATTCAAATTTCCAATTTTAAATCTTTCTTGAGCTCTAAAATTCAGGAAATAATGTATTATTGTAAATACTTTGTGATTAGACAGCTTATTACGCACAGAACATTCAGATGATGATGTAACATTTACATGTGGTGGGACTCTCCATTCACCAGCCATTTAGATGTCTCATTTTTAGTGCAATTTGTACATTTTCAGGTAGAGCACCTCCATTCTTACCCATCAATGCTTTTCATACCTCTCTACCCTACAATAGCAGTGGGAGTGTGCGATGATGTCTGCAGAATGTTAATTCCAATTAAAAATTAACATGGTATACGCACCAACTGAACTTGTAAACATTAATTCCATCTAGAATTAGTTTTCTGTCTACAGGCATTAGGCTAATGTGAAGACTTAATATCTTCAAATGGTTTCCTAGGATCTCTCTTAAAAATAACATTAATCCGAGTCTATGATAGCTCCTCACACCAAATCCCTTCACCTTTGCTTATAGAATGACTCACACCCCATTCCACGCTACTGATATACATATACACCACAGCCCTTGTACATTCAATACCCTTTAAAATATTTTTTAATTGTTTATTTTCTTAGAGTTTTTAATCTATGTTTATTTTATTTATTTCAGATTTTCACGTTTAATTTTCTTTAAATAATATATGCAATGTTATATTTTTGTTTGTTTTCCTTTCATACACTGAATCCACAACATAGATACAATTCGTTAACAATACATTAACTTTTATCATGTCTACTTACTACTTATGTTTACAATGTTTTTCATATTTATTTAAGCGTACTAACATGTAGGCTATGACTCACTTTCCATAACCTATTCTCTTTCAATTCTTACTCTAGTTCCTATTCTATAAAACCTCGCCGCCAGTGGTAGTTTCAAGTTAGTTTTAGCTTTTGCCCCTTCCCCAGCCCCTCTGTGTCTCTTTGTGTCCCACAGCCCCTCTGGGTGTCTCTCTCCCAATACTCTGTCTTTTTATTTTACCCCTTCCCATCATTGACTCTTTGCCCCCCTTTCAGATCCTCTGTGTGTCTTTTTCTCTACATTGCCCCATTTGTGTGTCTCTTCCTGTCCCTTTGTGTCTCAATCCCCCAGCCCCTCATATGTTTCAATCCCCCAGCCCCCCATGTGTCTCATTTCCTCTTCTCCGTCGCCCATGTCTTACCCACCAGTGTTAATTTTAGTGGCAAATTTCAATTTAGTATTAGTCATAGTTAGAGTTGAGCGGACACTTGAATGTTCGGGTCCGGCGGGTTCGGCCGAACTTTGAAAAAAAGTCCGGGTTCGGGCTCGAACTTGACCCCGAACTTGACCCCGAACCCCATTGAAGTCAATGGGGACCCGAACATTTGGCCACAAAAATGCCTCTAAAAAATTCCTGGATAGGGCTAGAGAGCTGCAAATGGAAGTAAAATGGGAGTAAGAGTAGGACAAGTGCCCTGCAAACAAATGTGGACAGGGAAATCACTTAAAATAACATAAAAATTAAAAATACAGCTGAGCCATAAAATAGCACTAGATGGAATCTTTGATTTTAGCTTTGGAAGAACATAAATCAAAATCTAAAGCATGGCTGTCAGGAGGATCACCAGAATTATCCATTTGAGAGAGGGTTGGAGTGCAGGGTATTCTCTTTCATTGTTCAAACCGAGCTTAACTCCTGATGCATGGAGAAAAGGCCTTCACAAGCCTCTGCTAATGTGTACCAAGTTTATACTAAGTGACCCATAGGTTGAGGAGGCGGTGACCATGGCGGTGAAGGAGGAAGCAGCGGTGGAGGAGGAGGATGAGGTAGCCAACACTGTATTCTATGGGTTGTTTTTTTTTTTAATTGTGGTAGCCCACAAAATATTGTGACATACAAATAAAGAAACATTTGCGGCCTGCAGTGCATTTCTTGCAGTCCTGATGCATGGAGAAATGCTCGACTCCTGATGCATGGAGAAAAGGCTTTCACAAGCCTCTGCTAATGTGTACCTAGTTTATACTAAGTGACCCATAGGTTGAGGAGGCGTTGACCGTGGCGGTGGAGGAGGAGGATGAGGTAGCCAACACTGTATTTTATGTTTGTTTTTTGTTTTTTAACTGGGGTAGCCCCCAAAATATTGGGACATATAAAAAAAGACAACTCTGTTCTGCAGAGTAACTGTTAACATTATAGTTGCACAGGAACTTTGTTGACTCTAGAGAACCTTGGGCAAATCGCACATCCCCGTGGCGGCGACTTTGCATGAGGATGTCATCCATATCAACTTTCGATGCCAGTTTCTGTGCCTACCATGGTGACCACGGGTAACGGGGAATCAGGATTCCATTCCATACTGGGACCCTGAGAAATGGCTACCATATGCAAGGAAGGCAGCAGGCGCGCAAATGACCCACTCCCGACGTGGGAAGGTAGTGACGACAAATAACAATACAGGACTCTTTAGAGGCCCTGTAATTGAAATGAGTCCACTTGAAATCCTTTAAGTCTGATCAATTGGATTGAAGTCTGGTGCAGAGCCACTCACCCGTGCGTGCTGCAGCTGAAACTCCACTATCGCCTGCTGCTCGCAAATACTCATGAGGCGTTGA